CATTATTATGTATTCCATACAGTACTGGAAAAGAATAAGAAATATATTATCATTGTCAACCAGGAGCAATCCGAAGACTATCCAAGCAAGGGAAATTTATCTGCTATCCATATGACTCGTCTTTTTAGCTTCTGATTTAGGAATAAATCCCTGGATAATTTTGTCTTCATAAATTCTACTCTTATAGTCTCTATAAAGGGAAGTTATAAGAATTAGGTAAGGTGGTAGTTATCACATTTGATTACACTTGAGGGCCCCTTAATTTCAAATCTAGATGCATGGAGACCAATAATATTATTTGATCACAGAACAAGTTTAATGAGGTCATTTCAGAGATTTAAATGAGGCAAATCCTGTCTTTGGTTTCAAATCTATACACTTCAAATTCCTGCCATATGTTTCCAACGTAAGATAATTAAGGTTGTTGAGCACTGAAGGATTCAATAAATATTCCTTATATTCCTGTTGCTATATCAGCCATGCTGTCCTATTTCTGTCCTACCTGAAACATTCTCAACTCTTTGAGAGGTTTTGTCAACCTTCTGTTAATTGATGCTCTCAATACCCTTCATGTTTAACCCAGAATGCTGGTTAATGTTTTATTCCCTCTTGTGGCAAGCAGCACTTTTTGAATGATTAGAGTGCTTTTAAACAAACATCTTTGGGTTTGGGCAAAGAAAACTGGCTCTAATAAAAAGAATTCCTTAATATTTCGGATATTAAGATAGCGGTATATGGAATGGTATTCTCTTACTATTTATTTATTAGATTTATTTATTCAGTAGATGTATTTATTTATTATATTTTAACTGGCTAGTTTTGAATATTAAATGTTCTTTGAGAAGCTTTTAACACTGCACTTTTCAAAAAATACTGACTAGAGGGGAAAGACATAATTGTAGCTTCTCCAATTTTCTCTTTAAAAATGTTTTTGCAATAATTTTCGGGAGTTGAAAAATCTTTCTTCTCAGTTCAGTATAGCTCTAGTTAAAATAAGCACGGGAATGCTTTGTTAACCCCAAATCACATCAGCAAACATTGGGGGAACAGTTGCAAAGGTAGTAGTTGCCTCCAGGATCAGCTGTCTTTGCAACACCAAGACAGCATAAAATTTGCTTGGGTGCAATCTCTGTACAGTATATAGACATCGCGTCATCATCTCCCTGGGTATAAGACAAATGTATCCTGTGCCAAACCACACCAGCACATTTGGGAACAAGAGGTGTAAAGATAACAGCTGCTGCTAGCTCTCTTTGAAGGATTATAAATGTAACAGATTTTACTCAATGAAGCCTTTGTGTAAATAGATTGCAGCATTTTGCTTCCGGGATTTAAAAAAAATGGGTCTGGGATGGGATGCTAGTTGGGTGACTCCATGGCGCTGTGTGTGTACTTTTGAGGGGCACTTGAGATGGGTCACCTTGTGTATATTTACGTATGAGGATTGAGGGAGTACTTTTTATCAACCTTTTTATTGTTTATTTAATGGATGTCAATGATATATTTCTAAACTCTCAGAGTCATTGGATTTAATGGTCTAGAAATTTGAAATAGACCTTGTGATCATGATTTTACTTGGTTTTATTGTCATTTTATTATGTTTGGAATATTTATTCTTAATGATGTTGATGTTTTTGTGCTATAAACCCGTGATGGCGAACCTATGGCATGGGTGCCACAGGTGGCATGAGGAGCCATATTGGTGGGCACGCGAGTGTTGCCCTAGCTCAGCTCCAGTGCACATGCGCACACCGGCCAACTGATTTTCAGGCCTTCCGGTCCCACCAGAAGTCGGGAAACTGGCTATTTCCGGCCTCCAGAAGGCCTCCGGGGGGATGGGGAAGGCTATTTTTGCCCTCCCCAGGCTCCTAGAAAGCCTCTGTAGCCTGGGGAGGGGGAAAAACAGGCCTACCGGGCCCACCGTGTCATCGCGTGCCAAAAGCAGGGGGAAGTGTGGGCGGGGTCACGTGCGCATGCACATTGAATTATGGATGGGGGCACACGGACATGTGAACCCCCATGCTCCCCATGCTTTTGGCATGTGACGGCAAAAAGGTTAGCCATCACTGCTATAAGCCATCCAAAGTCGCTTTGAAACGAGCTGGATGGCAAATAAAATAAAATTTAAAATAAAATAAAACAAAATAAGTTCTAATTTTAACTTTTCCTTAGTTGAAATTGTCTTGTTTTTCTTTAATTGCTATAGGCTAGCCTGATAAATTACAGTGGTTTGTCCATGTGACGTGAAGGCATGCACCTGCACCTTGATGATTAAAAAAATAAACAAATAGATTTGTATACTTATACAACACAGTTCCAAACCTATGGTTTAGACATCTTTTTTGCATTTCTTTTGACATCTGAAAATACTGATATATCACCTTTGGGAAGAATGCCCACAGTGAAAAAAATGGGGAAATTATAAATTGATCATTAATCCTTTCAATTTATTATTTATATTTCCTAATGCATAAAAATAATCCAAAACAACACAATTAATTAAGTTGTTTTTCTAGAAAATTCAAATATATTATGTTAGATCAGCGGAATTTATAAATTTGGGAAATTGTTCTAGCTAGAAAATTAACAAAGAACCCTCAAAATTCTAAAATGAGTAACAATTTCAGTGAGGGTTAATCACCATTTGTTAAGTATATTAACAATGTATACCCTAATATATTGTCTTATCTGTACAAATATTTTGGGCATATTGAATATAGATATTTGCAGTAATTAAGTCTCCTCAAGATTGTGTATATGCATTTTCCAATTAGTTTTTTTAATATGTTCCCTTGTTATTTTGCATTGACGCTTTCCTTTATTTTCATAAAAACAGAGGAAACAAGTATTAAATTTTTGTAAACTATACTTCATTTTATCTGATACATAAAGATAATTAGTGTTAAACATAAGACTTTGGCTAGAGAGTTGCATACTTCAGCGGGTAAAATAGCAATGCACATAAATCAGGCATTTTGCCTTGATGTGCTATGCAAACCATCTGTGTTACATCATTCATGCATCCAGGTTTGTACAGTCAACCCAGCCTTATCTGCCACTGCAAGAATTTATGCTATGCTTTATGAATGCAAATAACTGTGGCCCTTAAGACTTGGCTACTGTGGAAACTGTGCTATTCCAACATTCCCCAGGGTGTCTGCAGGGAGTGTAGAAAAAGCCAAGATGATGGTCAAAATGTTTAATCAGAAGTAATAGAGTTGGATGGGACCTTGGAGGTCTTCTAGTCCAACCCCCCCTGCACAAAATGGAAACCCTATATTTCAGATAAATAGTTGTCCAAATCTCTTAAAAACCTCTTGTGTTGGAGCACCCACCACTTCTGGAGGCAGGTTGTTCCACTCATTAATCGCTCTCTCTGTCAGGAAATTTTTCCTTAGTTCTAGGTTGGTTTTTCTTCAAAGCTTTGCCTATTTAAAGACAAAGGTGGCTTTGCCACCTTTAAAGCGCTCCATGGCATAGGACCTGGGTATTTGCGGGACCGCCTTCTGCTGCCGATAGCCTCCCACCGACCAGTACGCTCCCACAGAGAGGGACTCCTCAGGATGCCGTCAGCCAGGCAATGTCGGCTGGTGACCCCCAGGGGGGAGGGCCTTCTCTGTGGCAGCTCCTGCCCTCTGGAACGATTTGCCCCCGGAGATAAGAAGGATATCGGATCTCCGGGTCTTTCGCCGTGCCCTGAAAACTTTTCTTTTCCATCAAGCAGGGCTGGCGTGAACCCCCCCCCCCTTTTTTTAGTTTTTTAGCTTTTAATCTGTCAATGGGTTTTAATTCGAATTGTTTTAAATTTGGGCCAAAGTATGTAATTCTTTTAATAATTTTAAATTTTGTATTGGTATGTGTTTTACTTCTGGCTGTGCACTGCCCTGAGTCCACTAGGAGAAGGGCAGTATACAAATTGAATAAAATAAAATAAATAAATAAATATTTTTAATGCACTTTGCACACACATCCCAAAGAGGCATACCATCATAACCCACATCTTGACTTTTTTTGACCATATTCTGTGGAGACCACTGATTGTGGACTTAATTTTATTGGGATGTAGAAAACATTTCACAAAGGGCACAAAATCATGGATTTAACCAGATTAATTCTCTTCTCAGAAAATCTTTACAGTACAACTAAATCCTGCTTGGGAGGAAAATAAAAATTGCTGACAGAGAATGTTCTTCCAAAAAATAATTCTAAGGATCCTTTAAAAGAACTTACAGTATATGACAATCTGGAATCAGCCAGATTTGTGCAGTATAAATCTATCAAATTTGTTTCAAAAGGTTCCATCTCAACAATGGGGCAGGATGAAGTGATCACATGTCATAACTGGGGCTTTGAATTGCAAGTATTTTCTGTATAACCCTAGGGTATTGGCAATATGTGCATGGATTTGAAAACAGCATTCCAAGGTTGTTTCCAAATATAGCAAGGAATCAAGCCTTGTGCTCGATGGGGTGAGGCATATGCTCATGGAAGGAGATTTTTCTGCCTTCCGTGTCCTGTGATTTTGCAGCAGTGGGTTTGCTCAGTGAATAAAAGTAAAGATAAAGGTTTCCCCTGTCCAGTCGTTTCCGACTCTGCAGGATGGTGCCCATCTCCGCTTAGCTGAGGGAGCCAATGTTACCCAAAGACATTTCCGTGATCACATGGCCAGGATAACTATATGCCAAGGCATGGGGAACACTGTTTTCTTCCCACAGAAATGGTACCCAATTTATCTACCTCACATTTGCATGCTTTTGAACTGCTCGGTGGACAGGAGCTCGGACAAGTAACAGGAACTCACCCCATCGTGCGGCACTTGGGTCTCAAACCTAGGGTGTCAATTGACAAGCTCAGTGTCTTTAACCACTGAGCCATCGCAGCAGCCCCTGCTTGGTGAATTAAAAAAAAATTACTAAATGCAGAACTACCAACATCAGAGCTTTAGGAGTCCAGAGAGCTAGGTAAATTTGCCATTTCAAAACCACACAACAAAATGCCCTCAATGGATGAGTTTATTGTTCTGAAAAAGGAAAAAAAGATGTGTTTTTAGGCAGAGATCTACATAGAGAGGATAAGAGCCAGCCAGGTGTAGACTTGAGATGTTCCTCAGGGGAGACCCAGACAACCCCACCCTCAACCATAAAAGTTCCCATAGTGAATTCAGGCCAATCACTCTCAGCCCTGTTTACCAGACAAGTATGGTAATTGGAGGGGCTCAATTTACTCTGCCTTGAGATTCTGAACAAAAGGCAAGATTTAAATCTAACAACAAGTAGATAGGATAAATCACTCAGTTGCTGGAAGACAAGTGGACACGGATTGGTTGATCAATCTCAGCAATTGTTCAAGACAGTGCTGATTGGCTGGCAATTCTTCTGTGTGACCTCAAGACTTGCAAAGTGATAAACATGTCCAGGCATATAGCATCCTCATGTCTGAATAGATATGAAAACAGTCAAAACTGTCTACATCAATTACAGCTGCATTTTCAAGAGAATTCAAAAATGTTGAATGGAAAAGCTGGTCAACAGAAAATGCTCCCAGACTAGAGAACAAAGGCATTTTACTACTGAAACTTCTGAATTTTTTATTTGCTGTATTTATAGAACACTACCAACTCTGTACTCAAGGCAAAATACAGAACTCAAATTAAAAACAGCTGTTGAACTAGAATAAAGCCAATACATTTTAACAATACATGAGAACAAGAGCGAGGACATTTATTATTGTGTGGAATGCTTAAGGGCACTTCCTAAAAAGCTTTTACTGTGCAGTTTTCTTGCCTCCAATCAATCATAGAAATTTATGAGGGCTGAAAGGATCCTGATATCTTTATCTTTTGTTTGGAACCTACCTGTGTTTTCCCACTGCTTTTACTGTCTTTTTAGCTTCTCTTCAAATATTTAGTTTAGGAAGCCAAGCAGAATAGCTCACAATGGCTTCTGAATGATAGCATGGGGGCTCTCTGAAAGCACCCATTGCCTGGCTTCACAGAACATACTAGGCCATATTTTAATTTGCTTGGTTAGTATGATATATAAACCAGCTACTGGGTCATATAAAATATGTTTAAGATTTATTGCTTACCATGCTTATGTGAAATTAGTGATATTTTTCCTTATGCTATGTAAAGCATAATAAAGTTTTTGTTTTTCCTCTGTTCCATAAGTTGCATAATTGTACTGTTCAATAGTTCTATATGACCACTCTTCTTTTTTACGGACAAATTATGAAAGTCCTTACAGAATCATCCAGAGATGATTCTACCCTAATAGGTGCAGACATTCTGAGAAATGTGTCATTAAGCAGACCAAACCTTACCTTCTGAATCCACCTGATGAAACATAAGAGACAGATCCTCCTGTGTCTCAGTTGGTCCTGACTTACAGCTTCTTCTCAGAGTCTGAACCGTATATCTGAAAGAGGGACCCATACAGATTACTTACCTGTGTTTGGCCTGCTAGGGTTGTTATTGTTTTTTATTATTATACTTCCACTTTTGTAGAGCAACACTTAAAAAGAATGCTGAAAGGATCTGAACTCAGGACTTCAGCTCTTTCTTTACAGTTTCTGGATGCAAGGAAGGCCTTACGGTAGGGGAAATTGTGGCCCTCTAAATGCTAAACTATAATTCCTCGCATCTTTGACAGTTACACTGTCTGGTCTACTGGGAGAAATCCTAATAAGGGAAAAATCAAGTGACATCTAAGTATGCTCTCCAAATAGGAACGGAACCATATTTCTCCCATTTTCCCATTCATTTATCCAGAAGAAACTATTGTTGATGGATTCTGAAAGCCCACTGATAGACCCAAAAGAATCAACAGGATAGCACTCTCACTCTCTTCTCAAAGACAGTTTCATTTCAGAATGTGATGAAAGCAGTTTCTTTTCCAAAGCTAGGCCTGAAATTGGATTGAAATGGCTGTAGTTTCATCAAAATGCACCCGAAGTTACTAAGGAACCATTTAGGCTTCTTACTCAGAAGGAAAATGTTAGTAATTACCCCATAACTATTTTCATCTTCTGGGTCCAGTGTTATGTTTTCACAAAAGGTTGATCCCAGCAGCTGTTAGAAGAAGTTGCCAACTCCCATTCTTTCAAACAGGATTTGACAGCCTCTGAATTCTGCTCAACATCCTCTTTCTATTACATGCAGCGAACGGATAGATGGAACAAGAGTCATGAATGCAAATGATAAGGCTTAAAAAGCCAGGCACAAGAGACATTTTCCTGCTACAAAATGACCCACAATGAAATTATGACACTCTGAAGTTTTAAACAAGAATTTTTCTCCCAGTCCAAGTAGTAGAAGATACCTCAACTGAATCTAAGAAAGAGGGCTACCTGGAATGGGTATGAGAAAACTTTTCAGTTTCAGTGTTCATTTCCGTAAACACTCTCCCTGAAGTGTTCAAGAGCAAACAAAGAATTCAACCAAGCCTGCTCTCTTTGATCACAACTCTTCTTCTAAATCAGAGGTCTTCAAACTTGGCAGCTTTAAGACTTGTGGACTTCAACTCCCAGAATTCTCCAGCCAGCCAGCTATGGGAGTTGAAGTCCACAAGTCTTAAAGCTGCCAAGTTTGGGGACCCCTGTTCTAAATGTTTACACAGATAGTCCTTGACTTACGACCACAATTGAATCCAAAATTTATGTTGCTAAATGAAACTTTTGCTAAGTGAGTTTTGCTCCATTTTACGAACTTCATTGCCATAGTTGTTAAGTGAATCACTACAATTGTTAAGTTAGTAACACGGTTGTTAAATGAATCTGGCTTCCCCATTGACTTTGCTTGTCAGAAGATTGCAAAAGGGGATCACATGATCCTGGGACACGGCAACTGTCATAAATATGAACCAGCATCTGTATGTATATCACATGACCATCGGGGGGAGGGATGCTGCAAAGCTCATAAGTGTGAAAAATGGTCATAAGTCATTTTTTTTCAGTGCCGTTGTAACTTCGGTCACTAAATAAACTGTTGTAAGTCGAGGACTACCTGTAGCAGGTTATTCTTAGTGAGGCATTTTAAACTATTTTAAATTGTATTTCCTTTTTTACAAAATAAATGAATGTGAAATTATGACACTCCTGACCAAATAAACTCAGTTTTATCACAAGCTCAATACTTTCAATCCAAATTGGACATAGAGAGAGAAATGTGTGGCCTCACTCAGTCTTTCATTTCTGTGAAATCGGAAGATTTGAAACAGGATTCCACATACATTCATTTAAGTAGAATATTTTCTATGACCAAGAATTCTGATTTATCAGGATCCTGGCTGCGTGGGGGAAAAAAATTAAACTCATGCTTGAGCAAACACAATTAAAATGTCTACTTCAGGACTTACTACTCAGTACAGCACAAGTGAAGGGGTGAAAAAGATCGGCGTGAAAAGATTTTTCTTTCTTTGTTTACTTAACTTGCTGAAAAGTTATCAGTGTCACCTTGGATATGATTTATGTTTCAGATTCTTTTCTTAACCTAACCCAACCTGCTTCACTCTTTTTTTCCCTATTTTTTTTTCTTTTTCTCGTGCATTTAGCAATAGTGGCAATTCTGCAATTCCTGTAAAGGAATATATGACCTTCCTCTTGTCCTTCCATTTCAATTTGTCCAGAATTTGTACCCGTATACCTAATAATGGTATTAATTACTAACTATTTCCACACTAGGAATTTATAGAGCATTTTTATGGTGATACATCATTAATAGAGACAGGTTTTATATTGCCATAGCAATGTCTGGGTGACATTATAAATTGCTTGTAATTCATTGCTTGTTTAGTATTTAAACATTGCACAAATATTGCACCTACCTTTGTTTTTCAAAAACAGTTATTTTGTATGTACTTTATTGACTTCCCTTCTGGATCTTTTGTGACGTTATCATGGTGGAGTTATCATCTCTCCTGCTCACTGCAATCCTAAAGAGACCTGTTAACTACAACAACCATAACAAAGCACCATTCAGATATTACGTGAGCTCCTCGAATACACTGGACATCTACTAGACTTGTTATTGAACACATGTTTAATAGTCTTTCAAAGGGCCTGTAAAACTGTCTGATAACTAAACAAAAAAGGGATGGGCCAGTCAATTTAAAAGATGTATTGGTAGTTTCGTCCCAAATGAGTGTGTTACAAGTTTTCTGCTGATTTTTCCAACAAGTGGATTTGCATGGCCATGCTTTCTATGTTACTACCAAAACTCTCATTATCGTGATCTTTATCTGGGCAAAATGGTGAATTACAGAGCAAAAAATTTGAACCAATGTATCTGAGGTACTTAGATAGCTGAGTACCTCAGATAACTAACTGGCAGAATCTGGGATCTATGATTCCCAAGAGAATGAAAGTTGGAGAAGTTGTGGCTGCTTTGGGGTGCTGCTGTGGTCAGATAGGTCACAAAATGATGTTCATTTTGAACATATCATGACAGTTTCCCAGCCGCTCTCACAATCCCTCCCTCCCTCCCCCATCCAGCAGCAACCACTCAGTTGCCAGAAGGGAAAGAAAAAAGGGGGAAAGGAAGGAAAGGAGAAAGGAAGGAAGGAAGGAAGGAAGATTTCTGATGCTTCATGCTAGTTTTCCACAAGAAAACTCAATGGGGAAGCCAGCAGGAAGTCAGAAACCGCTCCAGCTCCCAAGTTTTTTGTCTACTTGTGGCCATTCTGTTTCTTTGTTTAAATAAGGAAATATTTTAAAACAATGACCCAAGGTTGTTTGGTTGTATTTATTACCTTGGGAGGGAAACAATTCAATTTTGCCTACTCTAGTGCCATTTCATGAGCTATTTCTGACTACTATTCACTATGGCTACTCACAGCCAGCTACACCTTTCACCACATTTATAGAGTATAGTGGGGAACTGCCAATTTCCTCTTTTTGCCAAGTGAAGGAAGTCACTGCTCTTAAATTGTTCAGGAGTGAAACTATAAAGATAAGAGCCCTCACAGGCATTGTTACTAAGGCAGATTAGACTCAGCTGTCAGGACAGCACAAAATATGCTTGTATATTTTCCTAGCAATGAGGAATTTAATGAGGAATGCACATTAAAATGGGCATAAAAAAGATCCCTCAGATGCTCGTTTAATGATCTCAACAATGCCAATTGCATACATATGTGTAGTACCAAATTCATGTGGAGGCTTATTGTTAGTGACTTTCTCAAGATCATCACATCAACGAATTTTGTAAAAGCTGCCACAGATTAATGCCAAGATTAACTAGATTTACTTGAACATAGACATTTCACCACAAAACGGAAAAGATATAATTCAGTAGCACTGCCAAGAACTCTTGTTACAACTGCAATATCTGTCAGAAGTAGCTCTTGGTAGCCTTTCCAGGGTTTTCAGGAAAACTATCATTGGTGAATTAAGTGAGTTACTTCAATGAGCAATATAATTACAATATTGTTCAATTCTATCTCCTTGTCTCAAATGAAACATTGGAACTAATATGATGTTCTATTATGCTCACTTAACATATGCCTTACTTATTTTTATCTTTGGCTGTTCTGTGCGATTTTGTCTCCTTTAATCCCTTAATAGAAATTAGTTGAAATGTAGTGCTAACTTGGTCATACCTGTTAGGAAGTGGGGTTGAGGGGTACCCCAGACCGTGAACCAGCTCATGAGCAAACACACTAGGACTGAAATAAATCTGATAGAGGCGCCTTGTGTAAAAATATAATTTACTTTAAAACATTTAAAAAGCACTATGTCTTTAAAAAAGCACATTAGTAACAAAGTCTTATCTTGGTTATGTGAAGCCAGGCTATCTCCCTAGATTCATCTCCACAATACCGAACAGTTCACAAGAGAAAAAGGTTAACATGACAATAAGCAGCTTCGGTGTCGATACATCATCGAGGTAGTAGAAGGGCGGCAAGATAAACTTCACAGCTAAAAAAGTCACCTGAAGAAAAAACAATTTCAATCAGCAAACGTAGCTTGAAGCTTGTGGGAGGAAGAATGTCCAGCAGCAGCAGTTCTGATGATGGCTTGCGTGCTTCAAAACAGCAAAAGGCAAGCATCCGTAGGAGTATCTCTGCAACAGCGTCTGGAGTCCTTATCTGTGTTCTCCTCCCTTCTGTAATGTTGCACGGAGCTCTGCATCCAACTTCCAGCAGGAGCTCTGCATCTAGGCCTAAACGCTGTTTAGGCCCAAGTAGCAAGCGAAAAGGTCCTTGCTTATATGGGGAGTTAACCTGCAATTAACTAGGGCGGGGAAGGCTTGCAGGTAATTGCAAACAGGAGATGGCTTGATTGAAACCATATTGTTTGTGACTGATCAAGTAGCCACAGCAATCCTGAAAACACTCGTGACAATACCTCTGAGTGAATGTCTCCAGATGTCAAACTGGTAGCCATGTTTTTGTCAAGCATCTGGGTTAAAACCAGAACTCTCCCAAAAATATGCAACAACAGTTATATTGGTTTCAGCGTTGGTGGGGTTTTTGTGTGTGTGTGAAATTCCAAATAACCTGAGGTTGTTGCTTCTCCTATTAATTTGTCAAAGCTCTTTCAATTTGCATTTCACCCTCCTCCCGATTTTGCTAAATGGAGCTAACTGCAGCTTGCCGGCATTTGATCAGGGCAATATTTTCTAGCAGCATTTTTTTTCACCCACAATATTTCACTTTTCCCTTTTCATATTTTATGTAAGCATAAGCATAACATTACACTCTGATTTCACACCCTTTGCAAGTCCAGTGTTTGTGTTACCTAATTACACCTTCTGTTTAAATATGACATTTAGGTAATCCGGTTTATCTAAAGAAACCTGGATAAAATGTTATGAATTATAGAAGGTGAAGAATTAAGCAAAAAGTCTGTTTAGAGCAAGAAAGCAGAAATAATAACTCATAATTGCATAAATGAAATATTTCAGCACAGGCGTATTGGTTGAATGCACCTTAATGCATGCTTTCTTACAGCAACAGTATTACTCGAGATTGCCTAACATTTAAAAAAAATAGAGCACCTTTGACTATATATATTGTAGCTGTTCTGTTTTTCATTGTAAAGTAGCCCCATGCTCTACCAGGCTTGCTGAAATCTTTCCTCTTTATATTAATAACTGAAGAATATATTGTTAAAATTAAAAATGATGCTAACCTTACTGCAATTTTATCAACAATCTTCATTTTTAAATAACGCACAGTAGTCCTCGTTTTACAACAGTTCTTTTAGTGACTGTTTAAAGTTACAACAGCACTGAAAAAAGTGACATGATCATTTTTCACACTTATGACCATTGCCAGTATCCTCATGGTCACATGATTTACATTCAGATGCTTGAAAACTGACTCATATTTATGACCGTTGCAATGTCCCGGAGTCATGTGATCTCCTTTTGTGACTTTCTGACAAGCAAAGTCAGTGGAGATACCAGATTCCCTTAACAACTGCAGTGATTCATTTAACAAATGTGGCAAGAAAAGTCGTAAAATGGGGCAAAACTCACTTAACAAATTTCTCACTTAGCAACATAAAGTTTGGGCTCAATTGTGGTCGTAAGTTGAGGACTACCTGTAAAGTATACTGGCTATCCGTTCCTCTAAATGCCAAAGGGGAAATTAGGACAGGATGAAAGTCAACAAAGATGGCCAAATCGAGAAATGACTTCTTCAGGACAGGTTAAATAATGTTTTTCAGAGACATTGGCTTAACACTCTCCCTTAAATAAGCATTGGGCATGTCCTAAATATAGCTGCTGATGGTCTGTCCAGTTGCCGGAAGGAACTATGTGGGACATGGATCAAGCTTACAGATGGTAGAGCTCATATCAGAGAGAACCCTATCTTCCTGGATATGATTTATGTATCAGATTCTTTTCTTAACCTAACATTTTCGAAATGACCATCAGATCATTAGTATTTCATATACAGTATTATATTCACATGCTCTGATGCGAAGGAGTTAGACGTTCTACTCCCCCACCCCACCTGAAAAGAACTCTGTTCCAACTGCCTTATATTCCGTTACCTCAGTTCAAACTGGCAGACGTTCCACTCCTTTACTCAGTAGCGGTCTGGGGATCCTTACAGTACTAAACGTCGCTACCTCACCAAAATGTCTTCCACCTATGGAACTGCTTCCAAACTCAAGGCGGTGGGAGAGATATTCCCTTATAAGTTTCAATCACCGACCACCAATGGATTGTGAACCAAATTTCTCCTGCATAGTGTCCCAGCCCCAAATCACTTCTTACACTGACCTCCTCAGTTCAGATGAATCTGTTCCTTCTACTGTAACACCAGTTAAAGGGAAAAGAAGGGAAAAATGCAGGAAAGATTTACAGATGCGATTAGGAAAACACAAGTAAGGAAAGCTGCAAAAAAGTACCGTGGAGAACAGGCAACTACTTGAAGTAGTAGTCTGATGGGATCAGAGGAATTCGGGGTATGAAAATGGTTTCTTCCTGATTGATGCCTGTGAAAATCGTGGCTTTGATTATGTGTTTGTACAGAGTCTTCACCTGAAGCCTGGTGCCATTGCAGAGTTTTGGAGGGGTTAGATTGTGTAACAGCATGATTGGAGTGCCAACCTTGATGTAGAGGACATGAGGTGGTAATCCTGGTGGGTTGAGAGTGTGCAAGAACTCTACAGGGTAATGTACAGCATCCTCGACCTCCATTACCGAGTCCACAGATTCATACTTCATATGCTCAGAGGACAGCTTCTCCAGCAGAAAGTTGTTGATGCTGTTGGCTGAATCGTTTGTTGGAGTGAGAATAGCTCTTTCCCTCAGCCATGAAGCGCAATCTACTCTAGCCTGATAAATGTTGGGATATATTCTGTCAGTCAAGCTGATCAGATCTCTCACAACATCACAAAGGTTACTTG